CCAAAAAAAAAAACCTCCTTTGACGCGGTTTCCAAGTTTCGAGAAGGATTTCACTCGAAATTGCAAAATTATAGATTTTACTAAATTAAAAGGATTAATTAAAAGGAGAACAAAATTATCTCGAGTCTATTTTATTTTTCTTTTCAAGAAGTAAAACAAAACGAAAAACAGATATATACATAATACTCCCTCTGTCCAAATTTATGCCTGAGGAAAAGTCAAACCACTTAGTTTTGACTGGGACATATAATCTTTATATTTTTTAAAATAAAATTTATATATTTGAAAACTATATAAAAGTATTATAAGTTTACAATAATTAAAATTTTAAAATATCTCAAAGACATATAAAAAAATTTCAATCAAAGAAAAACTCCTATGATCCTCGAAATTCAAACTCCGTGAGTAAGGAATTCAATTTGATGACATCATACCTATAAAAAATTTCTCAGAAATCCAAACATGCATTACTTTAAGTTCAGTCGATCTTAAAACACCCAAAAGACACAGATATAGAAAAATAAATTAAGGAATTAAAGCTTATATACTGAAATTTTTACACGTTCAACTGCGGAAAAGGGAAGTGTTTAGATTTGACCTGTCCAAGTGGAAGCCCAGAAGAAGAAAATCCAATATCAATTCCATCATTTACGACCAACGATGACATCTTGTTAGACCGACGAGAAATTCTGGACGGCATGCTCCACTCTGCAAAAACCCTAAAACCAAAACTCCATATAACTCAAGAAAGTCAAAGAAAAAAAACTAATTTTTTGTTCTTAATCATTTTTATTTCAGCTATGGTTTTGAATTGTGCCAAACGAACCAGCTGCTTAGCTGATGAAAATGGAGAAAGAAGAGAAGAAAAAAAAAAGGGAACGGATTGGGAAAGGATGAGGCAGATTTGACTATTTTTTTTATTGCTATTGAAATTAATAGGTGTCTTTATTAGAGAATCTCAAAAGACTACTGCATTTATAGTAAGAGTGTCAAAGAGTGAACTTTACAGATATATATATATATATATATATAGGGGTTAAGTTATGTAGAAGAAAAAAAAACATCACACCCCCAATTTATTTTTTTTAAAGATCATAATTCACTTCGACGAAAATCTTGAGAAATGCAACTAAATATTTTACTTTCTCTCCTCTTTGTGTGTGTATGTGTGGATATCAACCAACCTTAAAAACCTAGATGAAACCCAAAAAAAGAAAGATTGAGAAGCTTACTACATAAGAATTGGTAGGAGCAACAGACTATATGTATGTGTACACGAGTGTATAAATAATAAATAAATGATTTAAATGCGTCTGAAAAGGAAAAATAAATGGTTTTGAGTACATACTCTAGTGAGGGAGGTTCTTGCTTTAAATTGAACTTAAAGAAACTAAGAAAAAAGAAGAATTTGTGAGATCTAACAATAGAGGGGGTTAATTTGTGGGTGGCTAGCTAATGTGGTGAAGAAATAGTGAAAAGGAGAGGGGGGTTTTTATAGGCTAAACAAGTCAAGAAGTGAAGTATATAGAGATGAAGTTGACCATTGAAAAAGACGAAGAAGAAAGCGTGGACAAACCCCCTCGTGTTGTAGAGATAAGGAGATGGAGAAAATGGAGAGAAAAAATGAGGAAGAAGGAGTAAATGCTATGTGAAGAGAGATGGTGATATTGCATTAAATGGAGGTCTGAGGATGTTATTATTGCAATAGAGAAGCAACATGCATGCCCTTCCCCCTCCCCAGGGGGTGTTCGGGGGGGGGGGTGAAAAACAGTGTGTATATGTATGTATATGTGTATGTATGTCTTTTTGTGTGTAGGTATATGTGTGTGTATGTACAATATTGGGGTGAAGATTATGTGAATCGAATAATGCTAACAATGGTTTCAGAGTTTGAATTTCGTATTAGAGTGGAATTATCTATTTACTGCTCCTCTCTATTTTCATAAAACTCTTTTTAGGTTTAACTTTCAGGTGTCGGAAATATATTGGCCCAGTCTAAATCAAACTCATGTCGCTTAGAACCCATTAAGGGAGAACCGTTCCCAATAAGAATTTTTTTATTCTTTAAGGGTGTACACAGTGAACGAAAAATCGCACCAAATCGAAAAGTCAAATCAAATCGATTAAAAAATTCGACTTGGTTTGATTTGGTTTGGTTTGATTTGATTTGGTATTGAGTAAAAAATCCGAATTAACCCGACATATAAATATATAATTTTTATATATACTTTTAAGATTTTATATAGAATTTTTTTAAAGAATTAAATGTCTATAAATATTTAGAATTCTCTTACGGGATATAAATTTTAATAGAATATGAAGTGCTCCATATTTATTGACCTTAAATAATGGGTTATATGATCACTTTCTTATCAAATGTTACTGAAATACGTCTATCTCTTTGTTCTTCCATATTCATATCATATGTTAAGATCTATTAAATTCTTATATATTTTTCGAATGTGAAATAATTATTAATATTTAGGTATCATATTGATTTTTATGTATAATTACTAAATTCGGTTAAATTGAAAGTGTACATCAACAAAAAATTATTGTCAGACGACTAAAAAAATAACTATTATGTGTTACTAATAGAATTCTCCCATAAGAATATTTTAATCGATAATATGTTTGTCAATTTTATATATTTTTACTAAATATATATTTACTTATCAAATATTTAATAAAGTAAGATTGAAATAATATTTAATGAACAAAAAACCCGAAAAACCCGACAAAATCGAACCAAACCAAACCGATATAGTTGGTTTGATTTGGTTTTGATAAAAATCGAACCAACCCGGTCCATGTACACCCCTACATAGCACTTAATGGTTAAAGTTATTTTTTCGTGAATTATGAAAAAAAAGACCAAAGTTGTTTATGAAAGTAATTAAATTGTTGCAAATATTGAGTCTTTTTTAAGATACACGTTATTGATATCAATTCTTTGCGTGTTTACTTTTAAAAAATTTTAAATTCCCTCTATGAAAATTTTACTTTCGCCACTAATTATCAGTTAAAATTTATGGTGTGAAAAAATTTGAACATGTAAATCGTGTGAAAAAAACTAAAATGCACTCGTAACAAAATTATAGTAATCTGTGCATTCCGTTCAAAATGGGTGAAATAGCAAAAAAGTTTAACTATGCACGTGTAACTTGATTTTAGTAATTTGAACACTTAGTCGCGCCAAAATTAGTGAAGTAAACCAAAATAATCTACCAAGTTGGAAGTTAGTGATTCATAAAAAAAATACTACGGCCTAATTCAAGTATGAAAAAAAATTGAATATCTAACAAAAAATATCTTGCAAGCTCTTATGCAATCCACGTAGGAGAATTATATAACTTATTACAATTGCAGAAAAAAATGTAGCACGGTGAAAATTTAAATCAATTTGGGATATGGAAAATAAGCCGGCCTTCTGAATAAAGGACATGGCTCCATTTTAATAGTTTTTGAGGTAAAATAGAATTTGTATTTTTGAAAATAAAATTTAGAGACTTCGAGAAAAACATTAAATTTGTTGACTACAACTTTCATTAAGTTTCAGATTACAAGAATTGTGAAAACTAAATTTGTTTTGACTAAAGTTAATTCATGTTTGGCTGAACAATCAAGTCTTCCACATAGGGCACAGTCAGAATTTGATGTGTATGAATTCAAAATTCTAATCTGTTTAAGTTATTAGATTTTAAACTAATAATTTACACATATTTAATGAATTGTTAAGATAAATACAGAATTTAAAAAAAAATTACTAGATTCGGCTGAAATCGTAAAGCTCTGCCCCGGCTTCCACGTGTTTTTAGTATAAGAACTGCATATGGTGATATGCTCCAGGTAACTTACGAGAAAAAATTTAAATTATATTCATTGTTAGTGTAATTAATTTTTATTTATCACGTCATTTTTACCTGTTACAACATATCCTTCTCTGAAAGTCAATTAAATAAGATTTTTTTTGCATTTTAGAAAGAAAAAAGAAACGGAGACAATTGCGTTTTATTAATGACTAGCCTTTACAATTCTTTGCGTAAATGATACTACGTCCAGATCCAAAACTTATAACTCCCTCCAGCGTTGTTGAATGTCGTTTAAGATTTTGATATACTCATAAAAGAAATACTCCATGTATAATCATAAAATAAATTACTTAATAACATTAATCATTAGGCTTATTTGACAAATTAAATTATCCTTTTATCTTTGGTCAAAACGAGTATTAAACAATGAGAAAACTTTAAAAGATTATCGAGATTATTTATCAGAATATTATATTGATAGATTCGGAAAGAGATAATTACTATCTTCTTTGATTTTTTAAAGTGACGCTTATTTTTGACCAAATTCGTGCAATACGGCACTTATTTTTTACCAAATTTGTTGCAATGCGACACTCATGTATTTTTTACTAAATTTGTTGAGTAGTTATTTTGGCAAGCTTAATTTATTTAAAAATCAGTATTTGTTGTTGTGGACTTAAAAAATTGGCCTTAATCATTTTTTTTAACTAAAAATGTTTCAAGTCATTAGTCAAAGCTTAAACAAGTGTACTACATGCAAAGGCACGGCCTTGACATTTGTGCTTCTCCATGCAATATAATCTCAACCATCTGAATCCCAACCATATTTGTAAACAAATTAGCATTAAATTTTGTCTTTGGACTTTTTTACCTTTTCATTTGAATAATCAGTACTTTGAGTCTTAGAGATTAGTTCACAAAAATAATAGAGATCAAAAAGACAGCACAAGTCAGTTGTGAAGTTACTGACTTTGTAACTAAACCTGGATTATTTGACTCTATTGAGCATCCTATTATTAATTATAATTAGACAAAATTTAAAACATAAATTGTATATTGCATGAAGTCACTGTGGCATCACCACGACGTAAAGGCCTTGGACAGAGGTGGATCGAAGATTTCAACTTTATGGGTCCTGAATTTTAGAATGACGATTTCAAGTGCTAATAACTGGGTTCTAAATTTAATATTTGTACATATTAAATGTACAAATATACTGTTTGAGCAAAAGTTACTGAGTTCTGCCGAATATGTAGCCGAGCTTCTAGCTCTGGCCCTGGTCTTGGAAGTAACTATTCGTACACGGGGGCGAAAATAAAAATTCTAATAAGGGGATTCAGAGGGACTGAACGAGTTATATATGCTTATAAATTATTTATCTATATGCGTATTATAATTTTCGATGAAGTGAATTCAATTATGTTCCTTTACTATAGTTCCGCCACAGCGTATACTAGAGCTTTTTTCATGATCTGTTCAAGTGTCCACTAAATTTTGAAAATAACTTTGAGCTATTTATTTTCTTGACTTGAGTGGAAGAAAATAATGAGTAATTTTCAAACAAAGGTAATTAAATTATCAAAAGGGGTGTTTAAAAAGGCATATTTTCCCACCCTTCATGTATCTAAGTTTTTGTTATTGAATAACTGTTCAAAGATTATATTGAATTAAGAATTTTAATGTTGTTAGCACGTTAATACATTATAAGTATAGTCAATCAGCTGACATTGAAATATATTTGACCTGAGAGAGATGATTAAATACTCCGTTCATCTTAAACTTTTGGCAATTTCAGCTTTTCGACTGTTTACTCATCAAATAATCAGAAAATAGTGATTTAATTATATAATTGAGCTATTAAATCAAAATATAATAGTAGTAAAAGCCACGTAAATATACTACAAATTGTAATTTTTCTCAAATCAAAATGACAAAATAATACACCTCCCAGATGTTAGTCGAAATATATGTATAGGAAAAGGGTCAAAATGATCCTAACCTATAATAAATGGAATAATATTTTACCTTCCGTTAGAAATTAGTCTCAAATTTATCCCCGTACTTATCAAAGTGACTCAAATAAACTTGCCCTTCTGGACTAATGAACCTCATTTTGTGTATTTTTCTTTTTAATTAGCATTTTTAGCCCAAATTATATGTCACTTGTCCTAATTAAACCAAAGTGGACGATATTTATCCTTACACTCCTGATATGATTAGTGTTGTCCTTATATTATGTGTATGATTCAAGCCAGTTAGTCCTCTGAGCCACTTTAACAATAACAAGGATAAATTATTCGATATCACTTTTTAACGAAGGATAAAATTATTTCATTTTGTATAGTTTTAGGACTGTTTTGACCCTTTACCGTTTATCTGACTCTTGGAAAGCAAAATTTTGAAACAATGAAAAAGTTGTTTAATAACGAATGAGTCAACATATATGGATACAAATACTGAATTCCTGTTCCTCTTACCCCTACTTTTCCTTTCTCTCTTTATAATTCTCTGAATACCAACTACCACCCTGCATTTATGTCCTCACATTCACAAGCAGTCAAGAGTTTAGCTAGCCCTAAAGAAAATGCAAAGCAAACATTTTGACCAGAAAATCCTCTAGAAGTTAAAAAAAATAATCTTGGCCAAACAAATTATTAGTCGATCTTGTTATAGAACAAGAAACTGAAGAATGGTATAAACAAGAAACTTCACTACTTAGATTTTATTTGTTGATCACTTTCATTAAAGTTTTCCCATCTTGTACCCCAATGTTATTAATGTACAATTGATTATATATGGGCTTCAGTACTTCTTGAGGAGACATGG